ATACCCAGAGCAGTCTACCCTGATATTCCAGGGACATATACCCAGAGCAGTCTACCCTGATACTCCAAGGGCATATACCCAGAGCAGTCTACCCTGATATTCCAGGGACATATACCCAGAGCAGTCTACCCTGATATTCCAAGGGCATATACCCAGAGCAGTCTACCCTGATACTCCAAAGGCATATACCCAGATCAGTCTACCCTGATACTCCAAGGGCATATACCCAGAGCAGTCTACCCTGATACTCCAAGGGCATATACCTAGAGCTTTTTATAACAGGATTTTTTCTCTTCCTAATCATGAACCAGTGTGCTAAGAAAATAGCAATCTGTGAATACATTTTTGGTCATTAGTATCACTTGTATGTATTAAGGAATTTATTAAATGAACGGAACACAGAAAATATCTGGTAATAGGAAGGTATAGTTGATTTCTTCTGAAAAAATGTGTTTTCTTCTATTTATACGTCCTTATTGGATGGAAAGTCATGAAAATGCTAAACAAACCTGAGATCTTAAATGTGGATCTTCCCTTTATTATAAGTATGTTGAGCCCCGGTTCCTTACCACATACTAATGTGCAATGGGTAAAATCAAATTTCAGTGTGCTGTACTCAGATAAGTAAAGATTCAGGAGAGGAGGTGAACTACTAAATAATTCCAGATTAGATAATGTGGGTTCTTCGCATATCGCCACCATAGAGAGGGTATTTTTCCTTCTGATTCTGCTTGACGTAATTGGCTGATTGAAGAAAATTGGCCACCAAATTTGACACAATGCTCATATTATTGCTGCCTATAAAATGTATTTCTCTCTTCTTCTGTGCACTTTGCTGTGTCCTATTTCATCTTCAGCATCGTATTCATTTAGTTATCTTTTGTGTTTTATTTACCCTGAAAACTATGACAATTGTCACCAGTTGTGAGATTCACTTTTGTTCCTCCAATGCTGTGAATACCTTATAATCAAGAACTTAATGTATCATGGTTTAGCAGAACCTGCATATGAGAACATTCTAATATATTTAGATTCCCTGCTTATCTTGTCAGCAAGGAGCAGCCTATGATTCCCTACTATGTGTGTATATTTCCATAGCTCATATTCCCAAATTTCAGGGCACAGTTTAACCATTATGTATTATTGCCCTGCTTAAAAACAGTTTGATGTTTCTCTTAATATAGATTAAATGTGAGAACCAAATCTCTGATTTTATGTTCCAATCATATCTGAACATTCTGAAAAATATTGATATGATCTCCTGTTATTAAATAAGTATATAAACAAGAAAGTAAATAAATAAGTATTAAATAAGTATCACTTTTCAACAAAGACCGTTTTATCACTAATAGGACACTGAATGCTATTTTATTTGTGGGAAAAAACGATTTTTATTTCTTATACATAAATAAATAAATATATATATAATATACAGAAACAATACAGTCAGACATATCTTACAAAGACATCCAGGTTCTCCAGCTATTTAGATTGGAGGCCAGTTCGGCGCAATGTGTGGATAGGAATAGTTCGCAGGTATAGGGTCACTCTCTAGACACATAGAAGATATCTGCTGCCTTAGAACTCACGAACCTGGACGGATAGCGAATTTACTGCCCGATATCTAAATACAAGGACAATCAAGCATGGGCGAGTTTCGTTAAGAGTTCGCAGTAGGAATTCTGTACAGTATATACAAACTTTCTCCAAAGTCTATGCTTTGATAAAGGGATTATGGGCTCGGGGAAAGGTCCCTGTCCTCCTTTTCTGAAGAAGAAGGTGACATGACCGAATCATCATCTTCCTCATCCTCCAGACACTTAGTGGATGGAAATGACGAACATTTGCAGTTGTGAGGACTGCCCCGATGGGAGCTGCCCTTCCCTTCTTTCTTGTGCTTGACCCTTCTGTTCTGGAACCAGATCTTCACCTGCTTCTCGGACAGGTTGAGGTAGGTAGCGATCTCTATGCGCCTGAGCCTGGACAGGTACATGTTGGAGGCGAACTCTCTCTCCAGTTCCAGGAGTTGGGTGCTGGTGAAAGCTGTGCGCATTCTCTTACTGCTGGGCAGCTGGCTGGAAGATGTGTCTGTAAGTCAAAAATCAACCATCAGTCATATATATGTTTCCTATAGCAGGGGACACTACAACCTGGGGTGAGAACTCTATAGGCTGCGCTCAATGTCAAGCTGCTGCGCTAAAGCTTCATTGCTAAAATAATGCATGGACCATAGACACACAACGGAACATTGCTAAGCATGTGATGAAGCTGCGTAATACTCTGTCAATTCTTCATCAGATTTCATTTTTTGCAACATTAAACACCAAAATGTAACTTATTTAGAATATATCTATATTAAGTGATCGCTACACAGTAACAGTTCATACAAAGAAACATCCAACAAGCATCTGTCATCAACTTTTTTAGTTAGTTAACACGTGACCTACCGACAGAGATGCAGTGAAACTGCCGGGGATCTGGCATCGGGTACGCCGCCTGGTAAATGGCTGGACCATGGCTCAGGTTGAGGGGTGAGGATCCCGAATGCTGCCTGCCCAAACCCGATGGGCAATACTGGGAGCTGAAGGAAGAGAACGATGCCTTGAGCAGCGGGATGCCAGGTGGAGGGGCATGGAGCTGGGAGGTTGCCACACACATTGGGCACACGCACAGCAGTCCTGATTTCCGAGAATGGCAGGAGCCAGCAGACAGTCCATGCAAGGGGTGAGAGGGGTGCACGGCATAGGGGAACAGAGGGGGGCTGTTTTCATCCTTCTTCTCATTGGATTCCCTTAGGATGAGGGAATCTACTAGGAAGGAGCGAGGCATGGGTGCAGGCTGTGCAGGCTCTGGAAGAGCAGAGCTGAGTCCTGGGAGGAACAGTATCAGTGGTTGGAGTATGGTAGAAGCGATGCTGGGTGCTGCTCCCTATGCTCAGAGTATGGTAGAAGCGATGTATCTTCTTCTCAGAGTTGTATGAGCATTGCATGCATGTGCTTCTATATAGTTTGCCTGTGTAGCAGGGATCGGTGGCTCTGGCTGGTGTTCAGCCCTGGTGTGCTGCCTCCAAGTCTCCAGACTGAGCTGTCCTCTAGTTGCCTCTACTAGGAGTGTCTCCAGAGAGCTGAGCACAGGAGGGTGCTGGCCAGCAGTGTGGTGCTGAAACTCCACTCCCTCAACTTATATAGCCTTCTCCTCGCCATGTGATGCGGCCAGCACTCTCAATAGCCTCTTTTTGTGGCTTTTCTCTTGGCATTCCCTCTGCACGCTTCTTCATTATTTCACTTGTTAACTAAATGAACTGCATAATGTACTCTATTCTTGTCAGCCCCACCCAGGCCGTCTCCCACCCTCATCTCCCCTCTCTGGGATTTATTTTCCTATTCCCTGGCTATTTAATATTCTTTTATCCCTCTGCATTTTGCGTTGCTGAATATAAGCAGGTTCACCCCATTGCTGATATATGAAAATAGTGTTTGGGTATTATTGGAAGCGTGGTAAGGGTCAGCCCTATTCTCTATTCTTCAGCCACCTGTAGGATCCTGCTTCACTGCACTTACTATGTCCTTAGTGAGAGCAGCCCTGGAGCTCTCCATCCCGGATTACAGTATATACTATATACATTTATCCCAGGCTGGAAACTTACCGTAAGCTAGCCTTGAGACCCGAGTCAATAAATGGAACGTTTATATTTGGAACGTTTGTAGAATGTTTCTTAAATGTTGTGTATAACCTAATATAGATCTGTCTTTATATCATTTTCTTTCTGTTTTTATCCTCACTGAAATGAGACATAACTAGACAGTTTGTATAATGTGCCTAAATGTTCTGAATAACCAAATCTCCATCTTTATGTCCTTTTCCTTTTTTTTTTTTTCTTTAATCACTGAAGAGAAGAAACTAGATAAATAGATAATTACACATGGAAAAAAAAGAGTCAAAGTTGTATATACAAGCAGACACTCATTTACATACATATAGAACACATATGTAGAATATAGGCATATACAGTATATATATATATAACACAGATTTGTATTAACTTCCCTCCTTGACAAAACGATGCTGGCGTACTGCTGGACCCTTTACACAAGCATTCACATTAGAATGGGGGGAACAAAGTACTCCTTGGGATGTAGCTTACTAGGTTGATTGTATCTTATTGTAATCATTTCCACAATAGGTTTTAAAACATTATAACAGAAAAGTTTTGAAAGCAGTAGATTTGAATTATATGAGTTTATAACAAATGAAATATATATTGGTGGAAAATATATACAAATATAAACTGGATGGATGTGCAGTGGCTGTAATGAGGGACTTAGAAAATGTTTATGTTGGCTGGCTGTAATCTCCCCTGAGCATATATAAATGAGAATACATACAAGTAGACTGGGGCTTTATCAATATCAATAAGTGCATCCATTTTACTGTTTTACATCAGGTTTGAAAAATGGTTAGATTATAAATAAAAAAATATCATCTTATGGTAATTAGCATAACAACATCAGCATAGCTTTTAGATATGTATGTTCACAAATACATCATGCATTCATTATTATGAATATGGTTTTTCAAGTATGATGATAGCACAGGTGATTCAAATAAATAAGATATCAATGTTTATTTCACTTATTGCAGTAATATATTCTTACATATACAGAATAATGCGCAGTTAGTGGAAAAAAATAACCAGTATTAAAATAGCTTTAAACATAACACACAAAAAAATCTTTAAAATATAATATATTTTTAAAGTTGACCACATGTGTTGCTGTCTGCTTGGTCAGTATATTACGTTTAAACAGATTTATGCTGACAATGTCTCACACAGAATCCAATGTATTTATAGGTATTGGTCAGCACTGTATGAAACAGTCTGTGTATAAGATTGTCAATCTGTCCATACTCCTTGCAATCTCTTCTTTGCCGTCATCTTTTCTGACATTTTATACTAAAATAGTTTCATTTTTTGTACCATGTAACCAATTGTTATGTACGTGGCCAGCATAAAATCCCCTGCTTCTGTGCATTAATAAATACATAGTAATAGTCTGTTAAATCCATGGAGATATGTGGTTGGCTTCACTGAGTTAGCAGGCACATAGTCCCAAGCAGCCACATGCATCATTGTCATACATCATGTTTGGCTTTCAGTAAATCAGAATAAAGCATCATTTCAACTCTAAGACCCAGTGCTCTTAGTAAATCAGGCCCACTTTGTACATGGGTTTAGTCTTCCTTAGCAGATGTTGTTTTCTTTTAGGTATTTTGTTTGCTATTATTGTATTTGTTGTTTTTTGCTGTTTTTAATACAAGTATTGCTTTAATATCCCAAAAAGATCCATCACCCCCCTAAAATATAAACTATCGTTTGCAGGTCCGGCTCCATTTTTGCCATATAAAGTCCAGCTTTTGTTTGAATGCACATTTGGTCTGAGTTGGCGCATTGTGCGCGGAGAAGAAGAGTCTGCACACGATACGTTTCACACAAAACAAGCAGAAAATAAGACCTATTCCACAGGGACCCACATGTAATATATTCATTTAGAGAGTATTAGTATATATAAATCTGTTTAACAGGTAATACATATTAATAATGATATGGGCTATTAAAGCACAAAAAACCCATCGCTTTGCATAATTGATGGACTGATGCTGAGAAGATGGATAAGCGGCGGATAAAATGACCATATTATTGGGAAGAAAATGTCAAAAATAACCAGTTTTTTTTTTTTTCCCCTCTGCAGTTTGAACCTTATTGAATGTCATTGAAGAAAGTTTTGAATGCCTGATAAAGAGGAGCGAATTAAAGTGTGTGACAGCAGAGGATAAGCAAACACAAAGAGAACTCTGTCACACTTTGGGCGAAATCCGTGGGCTTTTTACCAAGCCTCCTTTCTAGGATTGAATTAAGAAATAGGAAGACACTTTCTTTCACTTTACAGCCATTAGGGAAGGAGA